GCGATCACTGGCCAGGGCGGCAAAGGCGCCTGATTCTCCAATCATGGCTGGGGGGCAGGGCAAAGGCAGGCCCAGGGTCGCCTTTGCCCTACCCCCAGCTCTTAGCTCACCCCTGGGTTTCCGATCACTGTCAGTGGCAGGGGGCTTCTTCCTGCTTTCCCTTTTGCCTCCCTGCTTTGTGCCTACATATGCAAATTAATCGCCATCTTGTTGGCAGTTAACTGCCAATCTTAGTTGGCAGTTAATTTGCATATAGCCCTGATTAGCCAATGAAAAGGGTAGCGTCGTATGCCAATTACCATTTTTCTCTTTTATTAGTGTAGATATTATTTCCATAAATTCCACAGCGAACACATTAGTTTTATAACCAGAAATAATCTTAGAACAATAACATACTTTAAATAAATGTTTATAACACTAACATTGAAATTTGGTTTTTGTCAAGTGACTGGTTGCTTTGGGATACTTTATCTAGACATAATTCTAGGTCAGCTTCTATGCATTTCATTTTTTTAAAAAATCATTAGAATAAAATTATATGTTGATTTTGTTAAAAATAATCTTTTGCTAGACAAATCACAGAGCTAAAATATATTTTTGTCTTTTTAAATGAAACAAATGACTATTATTAAAAATTAAATGAGCATTATATACATTTAACTAGAGATTAAATGCCCTCTACCTCTACCAAAAATTATATTACATAATTCAGCTTCACTTTTTAATTACTGGGAACACCAAAAAATAAAATTTTATAATTTAATGTTCAGTAATAGATAATTTTTAATAAAAACTTTCTAAATATTTTTTTCCATACACTAGTCATAGGGAACAAGTCATACCATAAAATATAGCAAATTGCTTCTGGAAAAAGTCTTGATTGGTTCTATCTAGAAAAAGCTGACTTGTTGACTTGATGGCAAACATAGGTATGCATGTTATATTGAAAATAAAATTAATGTAAACTTAATGAAATATTGAAATTTTGAAGTGCAAAGCAGCTAGTTAAAACTACCCTTCTTTCATTTACTTTTTAAAATGTAGAACAAACTTTGCACAATGCTCAAATGGTTAATTAAAATAAAACTTTAAAAGACTCCCAAGTAATAAATACTGCACATTCTTCTTTTAGGATCTGATTTTAGGTGTAACTAATTTGACTGGTAATATGATAAGCAACACCTGAATGACATACAAACAGGGAGGGGGTAAATTCCAAGCACATTCTGAATGAGAAGAGCAACTGATTTTTCCTAACCCAGACTCCTTTTTAACACATCCATGCCTTCTCCATCTAAAACCAGGTGCTGTTCCCAAAGGAGAAAACACTGCCCCCCAGTGGTCTTCACTGGAGAAATGGGAACAGTTTTAGGTACCATGATTGTAGCATTTATACAAAACATCGTGTATGTCTCTAGTCTCATTTCTGGCTGTGTTTCTTAAGCTGAAAGCTACGTCTACAACTGAGCATAAGGACAAAACCTCCTAAGTAAAGTTTAATATATAGGTAGCTACTTCGGTTAAATACGTAGCTACTTCGGTTAGCTAAGAGGCATGCTCATGACTTTCTGACCCCAGAAGCTGACCTTCATTTGACTATCGTAATTGGACTATGCCAGCTACCTATAGCGTCTCACTTCCCCGATTAGGGAGAAGAGATTTCATCTCTGTTTCCCTTGTTGGCCAATTTTTTAGCTAAAAGACATTTAAAATTGTACAGCAGGCAGAACCCCAGGGGACCGAACAGTGTTCCAACATCCTCAAAGGCTTCCCATTGCTTGAAAAACCAAATTCTCCCTCCTGTTTCTTAAACTCACCAAAGTAGGCAAAAGCAATTTTAAAAAGTCTTTGTGTCTAGCATTGGAACTTTCTCATATTTCACACCATTATATAAATGTCACTCTAACCTATATGTATCACAAATGCTACGCTAAATTAGGGCCAAATTTGCAACCTAGTTTAACTGGGTTTCCTCTTTTTGCAAATGCAGTTTTTGTGTCTGCATTTAGCAATGCATACAAAACTGTCCGGGTAACTGACTGCTTCGAATTGCTAAAATTGAGAATGGACGTGGTATGCATGTGCCAAAGCAATCCTGTTTCCAGTCATAGGAAGACTTCCTAACCAAAGGGGCCTCATCTACACTGCTAAGGTCTTGGACTACGTCATGGACTCTTTTTGATTTAGTAAAGGAAAATGGAGTTCTAAGAGGGGACGGATGGTTTTCTAACCTCCTCCATGCCTCTGTCCTTCAGACACAGAGTGGAAGTGCCTCATGTGGTAAGGGCGCGGACTTTAGATTTCCACAGCTGTAGGGGCTCATCCATTCCTAGCTCTGTGACTTAAACTTAGCCTCATTTGCATTTTCAGTAAAATAAAGATGATAATGCTGGCCCCATAAGGTGGTTATTATGAATGAATTAGGGAGTATGCGTGAAAGTGTCTAGCACAGAGAAAGAACTTAAGCAAGAAATTATTATTATTCTATCACCATCACTTCTTAGACTAATAATCTAATGGATAAATAAGTGTCCTAGAAGCATGATTTTCTAGAAATAGTACCCTTTCTCATCTTAAGTAAAGGTTCCCCATTCAGTTCACTGTATAGATACAATGTCCTGAGTCCTCCAAATAAATTCTTCAAAACAAATGCCCCATACTGAGATAAAATATTTTAACAACATATTGCTCAAATATAGCACCTTTAAATAGGAAATAAATGTTTTTCTTTCCACCTCTACAGAAGGTGGTATCTATTATATATTCATCTGGATTCACAAAGCATTTTAGAATAAAAATGACAACTATAAAACATAATTATTATGGAAATAGTATAGGAATTAGATATATTTTCATATAGTGTAGTGAAGTATAAAGTTTCTGAGTGTGAGCGTACAGAGTTCCACCACCACATCTGTTTTTAGAAAATGTACACTTCAGAAAGAAATACCACTTCCTTTAGGAAATTGTGCGCTCTCCTTTCAGATGAAGAAAAAGCTACAAATACATTTTAACGAGACACATAGTGCCCCCTTTTCACGAGCTGTGGTTGTAAATTCTTACTGGGCCATGGTCCCGCATCTTCATCTCCTCCCACTGTGTGCACCTGCAGCATTATAAAACGTAATTGTCTCTGGGTACATAATCGAGTGCTGTCTTCACTATCTATGACATTACACCAATCATCACATCATGATACTTTGTGACATACAACCTGGAATCTTTGATTAATCAAAATAGTTTTTATAAAGCAAACTGTTTATAATTTACAACAGTGGGACATATTGAATTGAGACTACAACAATGATTTGATAAATATCGCATATTTAGCAAACTCCTAGAATATTTTGAGATGAAGTTCCACTTGAAGATGGAGCAATATTAAGTCCAACTAGAGACGGCAATGGTGCATATGTGTTTCATTGAAGCTTGTGCATAACATTACCTATGCATCGACAAATGCAAAGAAAATAAACTTTGGTTTGTAACAGAAATAGCTACTCTAACTCAATGAATTTGTGACAAACATTCTGAATTTTTAAAAATGCTTCATATTTGTACCAGTACCAAAATAATCTAAAGTCAGAACACTTTTTTTCTGGATATAATTATATTATTATAATTTTTTACCTTGACAGGTGACAATTTTAGAAAACTCTAAATACAACTTCTAGTGTATGCACTAAAATAAAATGTAACAGATAGACAACTCACCATAGTATAAGTAACACATTCAAATTTAGTAATTTATTTTCCAGGTGGAAACCAGGCTTCTTGGAAGACTTCAAGCTCTGCCAAATGGTCTGATTTTACCATAGAGGTAGGCACTAAAGAACTAAATTTACTTCTGTATAATCTTTGTTAACTACATTTTACATGCAAATGTCTATACAACCATGTTAATGAAGTTATAGAGACAGAAAGAAAGTTGGCATTCCTATTGTTCTGTTTTATTCAAAAGCAACTTTTCAACTGACTAGCTGCATCATTTTAAACCACTTTTTATTTAGTCACAAGAAAAAAAGAAGCCTAACAATGTCTTCAAATTCAATCACAAGTCAAGAAAAATGATGCCTTACTTTTGAATAAAATTTAGGTGTGACAGTTCTTCTCTCCTACCTCATGAGCTTCAGAACATAGGAGACTTCTATTGGAATCAGACAAAAAAGTTCTGTTGATAATAAATATTTAGAAAAGTACATTCTTCAGACACAGAGTTGGTTATTCAGAGGAAGGAATTTTTGTCCTCCCAAGACGGGACTCAAATTTTTCTGTATTTCTAATGAGACTGGATGCTTAATTGACAGTTATCCAAAATCTTTTTTCCCAAGAAATATAAATATATGTATTTAAATTCAATACTGGTGAATTTTCTATCAAAAATATGGCATTCAAGTTTCAAAACCTATATTGGCAATGATAGTGTACGGTATCCTTTCAACTAGAATGTTCATAATCCAAAACTCGTCTTGGATTATAAGTGTCCCTAGGGTTTAAGAAAAAGAACGTTTTTAATCTAAAGTCACACTTGATATGTAATAAAATTGAAAGTAATAACACCAGAAGTGTAGGTGATAAAAGGAGAAAAAGGCAGAAAAAATGGTGGCAACTCTGCCTTTCTCATAATGTTACAGCCACAATTAATACAATTGTATCCCCAAACAAACAGAAAAATAAAGCAAAATAAGCCTTTTTCACCCTTACACATTGAAGAGAATCAGGATCCTGACCCAAATTTCAAACTCTGTAAAACCCCCAACACCAATGTCTCGGAAACCTGCCACATCCCAGAAACAGGCGGGTCTTCAACCTTGGAAATAGGACTATTAAGAATTCACAGATTATCTGAAACATTTGCTAATCACCCCACCCCCGTGCTAGAGGGAGAGGAAGACTCAAAGCATTAGGGAGAACCTGCTGAGAACACGCCAGCACGGCCCTTGTAGGGGTTTAGGTTGTCAACCTAATCCCAGCCACAACTATTGTAGGACTGTATCAGGGAAATGGTGTACGTGTGTGTGAGGTGGGGGTGTGGGGGGACCAGCATGTTAAGAAATTTAACAGTCAGATGATTTTTTTTTTCTTTAAACATTGGAGAGTGTTGTGTGTATACACGCTGGGCAACAGAAACCATAAATCGTGCTGGATTTCTGCAAACTGCTGCGTGCAGCATGCAAGCAGCATTCCTGTCAATGGGAGGACGAGACAGACAGAAATCCAGACAGAGACAGGCAGCACCCCCAGGATGTGAAGCTGTTCCCACTGCAAGCTGGAGTGGAAGGAGATGCTGACATCCAGAACAAAATGTCCTTCGCAGGGATGCCAAAGCTCTCCCTTCGTGGTCTCTGTGTGTAGAAAGGGTGCTCAGTGGCAAGGTCTTCATGTCCCTCTTTTCTGGATTCAAAATACAAAAAGGGCTTTTTAGTTGTTCTGAAACTTCTTCCTGTAGAGCCCATTGTTGTGTTCCAGGAAACAAAACTCAGCAAGACAACAAAGACTGGATCTGCTGGAAGGAAGGCAATAAAGAAAGTCCTTGCCAGAGGGTAATGAGCCCTTAGTCATTCATCCTGAAGTCCCAGCTACAGCTCAGGTTAATGTGCAGGTAGCTTCTTTCTATTTCCTTAAGACAATTTTTTTAAACATTTTTTCCCCCCAGAACGTTATACTATTAATTGCCAATTTGCATATGTGTGCAGCTGCTGTTTTGGCTCTGAACTCAATTCGATAAGCTTGCTGGAGGTATCGCAGAGCACTTGGCAGCTTTCCTATTTGAAAAGAAAGCCTCTCTCCACAACAGAACAGCTGATCGTCTATCAGCGATAGACCCTGATGGCGAGAATTACAATTACACTACTTTTCACACTAAATCTGGGTGATAGCTACTTGGAAAGAAGTTTCATCATTTTTTACCACAAACTGGAAAAAGAATTACATGGTCATGCTGTGCTTTTAAAGGCAGTTTGGTTCACTTTTGTCTACTTAACACCTAATTCCAAGAAGTCCATAGGCATCCAGAGATCTGGATGGCGCATAATGAATTCACTGTTTAGGTGGAAGATTTAAAAAATCTACCTCAAATTACATTTATTTACAAGGCGGCCAGGAAGTGTTAAAGTTGTTAGACGCTTCATTTATTAAATAATTTGTGGGTATTTTCAGTTGTCATATCTAGAGTCATGGGGTTTGCTTTTTTTTTTTTTCTTCCTTTCCTTTTTAATTAGCAATCCAAAACAATGCAACTGCGATTTAACAATTCGTCACATCATCTTGGGCTCTTCGGTTCAGCTGTGAATGTGAGGTAGTTCGGGTTGTTACGTTGGTGCGTTGACAAATGACGTGGGTCGCATGGTGCTGTGAGGACCCAGCCGCCCAGGCAGGTCCTACCTTCGTGCATGGCTCAGGAAAGCAGGGGCCTTGCCAGAATGCATTTGGGGAGCTGAGCACCGCCCAGGAGGACACAGCGGCTGGGGCAGGGGACACTCATCATGACTGGATTTGTTATCACCACTTAATTAACTTCCCGATTACTGTGCAGGTCCCGCTTGGGAAACTCAGCACCTCTTCACCCAAGTGCTTCCTGTCAGAGCCCGCACCCCTCTCACTTTCTGGGATGTCAGAAAGGACCGTCTTTCCTCCTTTTGCAAGAACACCCCCCCCCCCCATCATCAGACAATGGAGGAGGCCCCTAGACAGCCCCCTTGTTCCTCTCAGTCTTCCCTCCCATCTTGACATTTAGACGCATTTGTAAACAGAAAGACAAACAAACGAACCAGAGTTAAACCCACCTCGGGCAGCAGAAGTGGGGCACGCTCACCCCTCCTCCTGACGTAGTGAACCTAAGAGGAAGGTGGACTTTGTTTTCCTTTTTCAGTCGCTGGCTTTCTTAGCTTTCTCACTCTCACGGACCGTCCATCCGAGGACTGCCCATGGATGGATCGCCCGTAGAGCTGCATTTGGTGTAAAGGGGGGGAAAAAAAATCACAGTTTTATTGGCTCCCAGGAGACAAAACAAACAGAACAAGATATTCATATTAATGCAAACAATGCCACGAATGAGGGCAGAACCGCCCGCGGGGCCGGGTCGAAGGGCCCG